GATGGATCGACGGTAGCTTCGCAAGCATCTACAAACAGAGAAGTAACAGTGCCGAAACCGGAAGTTTCCACCAAATTACCCACAACCACGATCAAACCAACTCCGAGACCCAACAAAAGAGTCACGAGCGGAAAATACCATTACAAATCATACACGCAACCTCATAGAACAATATATACGACAACATCCAAGCCCAGAACAACATCTAAACCTAGAACAACATCTAAACCCACAACAACAACAGAAAGTAACGAGAGCACAACGGAAGCTCGGTTTGGCAACAGAATTAGGCCCGTACGTGTCAAAGGTTAAAATTCCAAGTGAAAAATTTACGTTATAACGAAGGAGATCTGTTTGAAAGCGGAACTCCCGTCCCTAATTTATTAATGAAAGGGAATAAAACCAAATAGGAATTATCAGTCAACTATTTGGTTTATGCTGAAGAGTTTTCCAAAGGATTTTTCGTTTAAATTCTTCATCCTAATCCATAATGAACTCTTATAATATCGAAACAATTGCTTTAAAATAACACGTTATATTTTGCAGATGAAACTTCGAGAGTTGACATCTTAATACCAATTTACTATATATATTTATTCTCGTTTCCATTAAAAAAAAAGGATTTTAATCTCTCCCGGATTCTATAACATTAATTAAAATGAATGATATACTATTTCTTAATTTTCTGTCATTGAGATGATTGTATCATCTTTGATCTTTTAATGATCGATTCTTGCAGATGGTACGATGCGTGCCAATATCATCTGTAAAAGATATTTATGTAAATAATTATATTCATCCTATTAATATAGTCTGTTCATATTTTATGAAAATATATGTAAACTTGTTTGTGGATTAAAATGTTTAAAAATTGTTTGTTTCCTTCATACGCGCGAACAAGTTAAGCATAATTTTAAATATCAAATTAAGGGTTGGGGGTCGAAATTTCCGTAGTATCTTATTATTATGTGTAATATAACCCGATTATAACACAATATAAAATTAAAAATAAATTATAATATAGTAAAATTAGGGAAAATAATAACGCTATTAATTAATTAATTATTTTTTTACTTAACATTTTTCATGTAGATTCCAGAGAGCTGTCGGTCTCGTTAAGGCAATACTCTGTAAAAGCGCTCGTAATGACGCTCATTTTCACGCTTAGAGAACTTTAAAAATAATTTTGACCTTTAAAATGAGAATTAAAAGCCATTAAATTCCAAAAATGAAAAATATTAATTCTTCCTCAGGAAATTATTATCGATTAATATATTTTCTATTGCTTTTTTTGGTTGGAAATTAGATTAATAATTTTGTTAAAACAGGCCTTAAAAATCTTATTTCTTTTATGTAATAAACAAATTTAAAGAAGGTCGCAACGATTGGATACGCATCGTTTACGAGTCATAAATTCACACGATATGTTTTAGTCTTTTTAGCACAAAGAAGAAATTAATTCATAAAAAATCAATCATTACCAGTCAAAAAGTATTAAGTAGGTTTTGCATTGTTTTATTTTAAATAAATAAGATTCTAACCTCATTCACACGCGAAAGTCCATCCAGACGGAATTTATTTAATTTATCTAAAAATCTATGGACGTAATGTCTTTATAATTTTGTTTGAATTTGTAAAGCTCTCGGATGATAGTCAGGAGCGCCTCTAAATTGGGGCACGTACCCTCTTTTTCGTCTTGGTTGCCCTTTTCCTAATATCCAAGGGGCCTCAAACAACAGAAAATTCATGACTATTCTGTAAATATAAAAAAAACTAATGAACAATATATGTCCATTGTCCATGCAACTTCGTCATGTGTTGATCAGAAACCACGTTCCTTGTTTTCAAGGCCAAGTTAGCCCGAGGGCAACCAGTACCACCTTGCGGGAGCACTGATCCGATGTTGAATCATACAGTTTGAAGCTTCTTGCATAATGTACGATGCCCTTTTTTATAGTCTGCAGGCGCCGCGTGATCGAATTAGCAGTGTTGTAACTAGTGTTTCATGTGTCTAATCTTATTTTTGGTTCCCTATTTTTTCGAAAACAATTAAAAAATAAGTATGATAGAATAGTCGGTTATTTTTAAAAGTTACGGAATTGATCCCGCTGCTACAAAATTTAAAAATTGAAATAAAAATATAATACCGATTATTTTTTGATACCATCATTTGAAGTCCCCTATGTCCAGGGCCCTGTGTTTGTGCACTCGTTAGGTGTATACTCTGAAAACGTAGTACAATATGTAATATCAAAATATTTTAATTCTTTGATATATAATTAGCCAAAAATTGTCGATTCTTTGTAATTTCGGAATTTGAAATGTAGCCAATGTGAACAAAACTAATGTCATGAAGGAAAAAAAAAAAACGATTCCACTCACTATACTTTAATTGGGATATTTTTACATCGCATATACATTTTTAGTTTTCCATGTCCATCATGGGTTCGTCTATATCCATGATAGCGACTGGGTGACTAGAAACAGGATCCGACATATTCGGATAGACCCACCCATTCATGACATTTCTGAATCGGATCAGAAATTTCCATACGCTCGAATTAGGTTGCTCCAAGAGGCAGGATAACGCATTTACTGCTTGCCATTGGGTCGTCAGAGTCCTTCAATATGTAAAGACCATCCAAGAAAGTTCAAGATGCTTATTTAAATAGTTTATTCAACAACTGTGCAACAGCGAGTTTTTTTTTTTTAAATATAAAACATTAAATATTCTATCATAAAAATTGAAACAATAGGGTAAATATGATGGGTCGGCAATGGTGCTGGAGCTTGGATGGGCAATGCGGACAATTATGGGGGAGGACCAAATCGTAATGACAACCTTTTCGAGACTGAACTTTCTTTTTCAAGCATGGTATGTAATTTTAATTTGATTTACTTTAGGAATTACTTTCGTGTTTAATATCACTATCAAAATAGGATATGACTACTTAGTTTAATTTTTTTTCTTACTAAAAGAAATATATTAGGATTACTTTTGATTTTACTCTTTCAGCTTTATCCACTAAACGAACTATTAATCGAGCCCATCGTGGGTTCGACCGGGTGGTGAGGGACGAGAACAGATATATCTGGGACGAATCATCCCCAGAAATTGGGGGTTTTCGACCGGTACCGGGCTTAACCTTAACCCCTCTGCCATGTGACTGTTTATATTGTAAAGTCAAAAAATTATGCTTCTTTACTTTTTGTTTCATATTATTATGCCTTAATCATTTTTTTCCGATGGGTTTCACGATATCTTGCATTTAGGCTCGCCTGCTTAGCTACGTCCTAGCCAGTGACATTTGATCGGATCAGAGTAATACCCAAAAAATTATTAGTGTTTTTGAAAACGCAAGATTAAAATTTTTGCAGTATAATGCAGTTCGATATGTCCACATTTTTATGTCAAAACTAAAGCATGTCTCGTGAAAATAGTTACAGATGTGTTTTAGTTATAAAATTTAGAGTACCGTACAACAAAGCATAAATTACAGTAGAACCTCGATTATCCGCCCTAATTGGGGACTGGGGTTGGTCGGATAATTGAAAAGTCGGATAACCGAAAAGTATGAAAAAATCCATTATTAGTGTAGTATATTATTATATCCCATGTAATTAGTATATCGCTATTAACCTATTTTGCGTTGAATTTTCATCGATGTTAAGCCTAACAAAAATTTTTTAAAATAATAATCGTCGCTATTGTAGCACCACATCACTAGCGGACATTTGAAATTTGCCGACTAGGACGGTCGGTTAACCGAGGGGTCGGTTGATCGGGGGGCGGATAATCGAGGTTCTACTGTAGTCCAACAGAATAATCAGAAAAAGAATAGAACAATACAATGTTTTCTTTGTAACTTTTATTAATTAATGTAATTTTTTTTTATATTAATCGATCACAGAAGAAGAGTTGTTCAAATCACAAAATACTTACGCCTAAAACAAAATATTCTTCCATTAAAACATTAAATATATCTACCGCATTAATAAACCGACAAATTTCATCATTAATTATTTCGAAAATTGTTAGATAAAAATAGTTAAAAATTAAATTATTACAAAACTGCTTTAATAATAACACAAAATCATTGTTACATTTTCACTAAAATAAAGTTAGAACCTGAGGGAAGATTTCTTTATAAATTATAATTTGTGATCGATTATTTATTAAGAGAACAATTTTAATACCAAATAAATAAAAAAGCGAAATTTAAAATTATCTATATTAAATTATTATATATTTTTGTAAGAATTTAATATCCTGAATTATTTCCATGTAAATATTAGGGAAGACCACTTTTTTTCTTAATATGATAAAAATAAGTATTTATTTTTTTTTCAACTATCATTTTAAAAGTAATCCTAAATTAAATATTGTAAACAAATTTTAATTAGATTTATATAAGAGCTAAAATTATTACTTAATTAACAATTTTCAATTTTCTGAAAAAATCATGATCTTCAGGAAATTGAAGATTAAAAATTTATTTGAAACTGTCAATGAGAATTGGAAATTTACTATCTATAGACACTTTGAAGTTCATTTCTTCAAATATTTGGCATTCAGTCTTTATAAAGCTGTAAATCCTATAACAGGAACAATTAACAATTTCTTAACTTTCATTGGAATGAAGTTAAACACCCAAATGATTTATAATACAGAAAACGTAGAGTTTGTTTCTCATATCTTTACTCCATTCCTCATCACTTGAAAACAATTAACATTTTCATAAACTTAATATATTAAAAAAGTTTCATTCTAGACTCTATAAAGATTTTAAACTGTAATAATATTTGTATAAGGTGACCTTTTTATATAGATGTATATAGATATGTGAAATATCCAATTAAAAATGTATAGGGTATCTTTAAAAATATAAATAAAATTTACTAATTATTGTATATCCTTTTATCTAATTTTATATAAAATTCAATTTCTAAAATTATATAAAATATTGATTTAACTGTAACAATTCTTTTATCTAAATAATAATACAATTATTTCTGGAATTTTATACATTTGGCAATAAGTTTATGAAGTATTTTTTCTTTATAATTTGATTATTATTAGTTTTCAAGGCATCAATCCAAATACTTTTTACATTGCATTTAATATAATTAAAAAGGGAATGATTATTGGTCTGTTTACATAATTATTATAAAATGACTACTTATAGGCTATAAAAAATAATAATATTGTATATTACATATAAGATCCTTATTTGATAAATAAAATTTGGACAAAAACAGAAGGAAACTACACAAAAACACACATGTACGCGACAGAAGGAAAAAAAATTGTATACTAAAAATTAAATATCGTAATGACATTGATATAAAAAATGCATCTGGTAAAAACATTATATTGATTGCTGAAATTACTCTTCCTCTATCGAATGGTCAATAGAGAAAGTGACTTTATTTAATTTTTTTTTCTTTGTAAACTTGAAAAATAAGTCAATGTATACCCAAACTCGCAGCTGCTCAACAGCATTCATGGTTTCGATTTTGGCAATTTTGTGATTGTTCCATCCATTCTGTGATATTGAGGCTTCATTTCTGTCATTGGCCTGTTGTACTGGAGATGATCATATGCATCTAAAAAATAAACTGATTTTTATTTTACTGAATCAAATCTGAGACTTTATTTCAATTGCATACACTAATCTTACCTTCCATATTTTTATCTTTAACTTCATCGTAAAAAGGTTCTTTTTTTGCTAAATTTGGTTTAAGATCTTCAATACTATGATATATGTTTGGATTGTAGTCTGGTTCTAATTTATATTTTTCATCAGTCCTTCCACCATATGCACCTTTATGAAAATTTAATTTAATTTTAAAATTTTTAATAAAAATTAAACAACAAATATTATAAATATGTACCTTTATCACTTAAACTATCGTCATCATCATCTAAGACTAGTTTAGCTTTGGCTAAATTATTTTTTGATAAATTATTAATATGCTTTACACTGTGAGGAAATGATGATATATTATTCAATGGACCAGACGCTGTATTTCTAGGAACACCTTGATAAGCATATACAGGATTGTCAAAATGGCGTCTATCTGAAATGTAAATTACTACTACTTAGCACTTACATTAAAAGATATTTATTAATTAATAATTTTCTTTAAAAAACTTTATGTAATTTACCTGGAGATTGTATAGGATCAGCAGCATATCTAAAAAAAAAATAAATATGTATAAATTAAAATGAATTACATTTTATAGAAACAGTTAATCATGAATGTTTATTAACTTCTCTACAATTATTAATTTTTGTCCATAATTACTTTAAGTTTTGATAAAATCAGTTATAATTAGTCATTTTCTAATTCAATACGTAAACAAAATTAATTAAAATTATTAAAGCATATATTTATATATTTTAATTATATAGCTGACTTACGTTACATATGCTAATTCTCTCTCCAATCTATTGACTCTCCTTCGGTAATATAATGCCAAAAGAATAATTACTATTAAAAGAATAAGTGCAAACACAATTCCTGCAACAACACCTGCACTAAATGTTGAGTCATTTTCATCTCTTTCCTGAATGTGACTTCCAATCAACTCTAAAATATAGAAATTTAAATCTTTAAAAATTTTACAAGAAAATAAAATTAAATATAAATTTAAATACTACACAAACAACTGTTAAGAATTCAGATAATTCAAAATGTTAGGAAGTGATTCTACTTATAATGGAAAATCAAAATACAAAATGCTGTTAAATATATATATGTTTAAATTTTGTCGCTGAACAAAAAAAAATAATAATAAACAATCATTAAAATTACAAATTTATATGTTTTATTAATAAAAATTATATAACACAAAAAATTAAACATCAGAATATATTTTGAATGTTCAAAATGATAATTTTAAGACACAAATCTCAGTCTTTTTCGAGGATCAACTTATATTGTTGTTATAACTTACTATGTTCACAGTTTTCTCCACCATAACCATATTTGCAGACACAACCATCAAAAGCACTACATACATAATTATCTCCTTTACATTGACATTGCTGCATACAATGATCACCATATAAACCTTCTGGACATACTAAGAAGAAAATTACACAAAACAGTATGTATTAACATAAAATAGTTATTTAACCAAATAGAATAAAAATATATAATAATAATAATAATAATAATAATATTTAAAATACCTTCCGTGCATCTACTTCCCATCCAACCTGGAAGACATCGACACATTCCATCACTTGGTCTGCACATGCCTCCATTTTGACAATTACATTGTTGTTTGCATTGCAAACCAAAAGTACCATTTAAGCATGCTAAAATTAAACATTTTTTAAATTGTTAAACATACTACACCAATCAATAATGAATAACTGAAAAGAAACATACGAATTGTGCAATCTTTTCCCATCCATCCTGGCAGGCACACACATTCTCCTGTTGTGGGATTACATTCGGCACCATTTTTACAATTACACAATTGTGAACAGTCTTTTCCCCAATAATTTTGTGGACAAACTAAATATAAATAACATAAGTTAAAAATTTTCTAACAACTTTAACAAATAACTTTATTATACACTTACTTTCATTACAAGTAAGACCAGTATAACCTGGCTGACAGTAACAATGACCAGTAATATGGTGACAAGTTCCATAATTATTTGTACATTCTGGACAAGTTTCAGAACAATTATATCCATATGTTCCATGGGGACAAGCTATTTTGAAAACATTTTAATATAAATTCATATGAACATTTAAATGATCACAGAGTACTGTTAAGCACAATTTATTTAATTAATATTAGTTCTTAAATTTAAATATTAATTTTTAAGAGATTAGTCAATTTGATTTGATTTACCTAGCATATGTCAGATGATCACTCCTCAATGTATTATTATCACTTTGATTTGATTTACCTAGCATATGTCAGATGATCATATGCTAGGTAAATCAAAGATATATCAAAGAATCAAAGAAAATATAATTTTGATTTAATTTTGATTTAATTTTGAGTAAATCAAAGAAATTATAATTTTGATTTGACTAATTTACCTAGCATATGTGATCATCTGACATATGCTAGGTAAATTAGTCAAATCAAAATTATAATGATACAAGAACTTATAGATTAAAGATAGATTAAATGAAAAATACAAATGTTTACTATCTTGAAATTTAAAACTAAAGAAATTTATTTTACTATTTTATAGATATTCAGAATTTTTTCAAAGTCACGCAATGAAATCTACATTTTTAAAAGTTGCTTTTGTTTTAATGCATGCTTTTTGTGTTTTTTTTTTTTACCTGAAGATAATAAGTAGGTCTTGTCAAAAGTATTTGATAATAGTTTTTCAGTTCAATTAATTGTCTCAAAAACTTTTACTTTTAACACTCTAAGACAGATAAATACATGGATAGCACTTCAATTATTTCAAATGCTAAGTATTTCAACCATTCTAGAATATTGCAAATACTCAGAATATTTTAAATATTATGTTTGTAAATACCAGTATTTACAAACATTGCTGTTTTGTTAATGCATATATTATGGACAAAGTGATTAATCGGGCATTATTCATAATGACCAAAAAGGGCGCGCAGTGTGATAAATATTGATTAATTTATCAAATTGACCGGTCATTATGAATACTGCTATCACCTAATTAGGCAAAGTGATAATAATACATTGAGGAGTGATCATCTGACATATGCTAGGTAATTGGCACTGAGTTGCTGATTGTATCGTGTTGAGTGCATATTGCATTTAGTACTGAATTTTAAATTGTGTGACATTTTAATTTGATTAAAAAACTCCACTTATTTCATTTAGAAATATTTAATTTTTGTGAATTATTTCAAAGTATTTTAAAGAGAACAAGTAATCTTTTAAAACTAAGTACTATTAACTATATTAATTAAATAGTAAAATTTTACCTATGTGCACAGTCATGGTGGCAATCGCAACTGTTTGTGCTCCCGATGGATTCCTCCCGGAGGGGAGCCACCGGCAGGCCGCCAATTGTTTAACGTCACTAGATATTGATATTGGGTTGTTCGGAAAGTAAGTTCGTTTTTTTCCATGGAAAAAACACAATATTTTTATCTATGTGCATAGTCATGGCGGTGGTTGTAACTGTTTGAGCTCCCGACAGATTCCTCCTGGAGGGAAGCTGCTGGCAGGCCGCCGATTGTTTAACGTCACTAGATATTAATACATACTAATTATTGATACGTGTGTTCAAGAACTACCATGAATCAATATCTAGTAACATTAAATAATACGCAGCCTGCCGGCGGCTCCTCTCAGGGAGGAATCCGTCGAAAGCACAAACAGTTGCGACCGCCACCAAATTCGGTACTAAATGCAACACGCACAAGCAACTCAGATGCGGGTACTGATTGGATAGTGCATTATTATCACTTTGCCCAACTAGATGATGGCGTTATTCATAATGACCAGTCAATTTGATAATTTATTGAAATTTATTACAATGCCCGATTTTGTTGGTCATTATTCATAATGACCAGGCATTATTAATAATGTCCATATTAAACACTTTGTCCATAACATATATATTGTGTACTTGGGTCGTGTTTATTAATAGAACTTATAATATTGGTGATGTTTCTGATTTGCAAAGAGAATAGATCTTACTATTAGTCAAAGATCAAAATAAAAAATCTTTATTTACATCTTAATTCATATCTTTACAAACAAATGTGAAACAATCATTATATCNTTTGAAACGAAACCAATTTGTTTCAAGTAATCATAAACAGTTCAATTTGACAAATTTAATCTCTTAGTGATTTCATGTGTTCTTATTCGACAGTTTGCTTCAATCGGTACCTTTATTTTGTTTTCATTGGCTTCAACTGGCCATCCAGAACATGGTGAATCTTCAATATTGAAATTGCCAGAACAAAATTTTGTAAATCAGTTTTGGCACTGTCTTTCTCTCAACACATCACCTCCATACATGTACCACAATTTTTTTCTTGCTTGAACAGCATTTTGATTTTTTGGTAATAAAAAAGCAAAATATGCCGAAAATGATGCTTTCAATCTTCCATATTTGATGGGACACAAAAAATAAACAATTGCACAGAATCAAACAAATTTTTTTACAAATAAGCCTTAAAATGCCAGCTATCAAAATATATAATGATAATACGGTTTAGAATGAAAATGGTGGAAAAAATACAACTAATCCATCTAGTAATAAAAAAAAAACGAACTTACTTTCCGAACAACCTAATACCGTACATACTAGTTATTGATACGTGTGTTCAAGAACTACCATGAATCAATATCTAGTGACATTAAATAATACGCGGCCTGCCGGTGGCTCCCCTCCAGAAGGAATCTGTCAAAAGCACAAACAGTTGCGACCACCACCAAATTTGATACTAAACGCAACACGCATGTGCAACTCAGATGTGAGTGCTGATTGGATAGCGTATTATGGATGATCATTCCTCAACGCATTATTATCACTTTGCCCGACTAGATGATAGCATTATTCATAATGACCAGTCAATTTAATAATTTATTGAAATTTATTACAATGCCCGATTTTGTTGGTCATTATTCATAATGCCCATATTAATCACTTTAATCCATAACACATATTAATATTTATATTATATTCTTTCTAATTTGTTTTATCTTATTCTTAATTTCTTAAATGAAAGCAATAAACAATGAGATTTTTCTTAAAAAAATTAATTTTTCATAAGATTCACATGATGCAGTTTAGCCTCTTCTGAATGTTTATTTTCTCATTTTCTTCTTTAATTTCTCTGTAGCTTATGTTTTGTATATTCATATTGGTAAAAACTCCAAAAGTATATTGTAAGCAAATTTATATGGTCAAAATCAGAAAATGATAATTATGTAAGAAGAGTTATATATTCTACAAAGAAAACTTTAACTCAGAAACTTTGTTGATTTACTCAAAAATGTATTTCATGAAACTATCAGCATTTCTATAAAATAATACAGGTATCCCTCATACAATATAGCATTCCTACAACACAGTTCCACTAACATGGTTCAAGAATTGGATACATACCCCATCTAAATTGTCACAATTTTTAAGTGCAAACACTGTCATTTGATATTTTATTTATTCAAGCAAGTATGCATGTTGTCTCATATTTGTCAATGAATTTCAGAATATTGAGATTTTCAGTTTTTTGTGCTTTTTGCCTTGTTTCCTTTAATGAAAACTGAACATACAATTTTTTTTCTTCCTTGTTCTAGCTTCCTATTCTAGCTTTCCTACAAACCAGATGTCACCATCATTGGTGATAAAGTTCTAAAGAAACTTGAAAAACTGTCATTGTGTTTTGTTTTTATAGATTAAATTAAAACTAACTATATAAAAAGATTACATTTTTTTAAAGATCTCTTAGGCAAACTCAAGCAAATGAAAATATCAAATTTTATTAAAAAAATAGAGAAAAATCAAGATGTTGCTGGTACTCTAGATTAAGGTCAACTGATAAGCTCAGAAAATGACATTATTTTGACAAAAAGAAAATGCCCACATTTAACAGTGTTTAGTGGTGAAGAAAAAACTAATATTACCATTTTGTTTGTGATTGTTAGTTAACTATTTATTGCTTTAATAAACATTTTTTTCTTGATTAAAAGAAAAAAAAAAAAAAAGAGTTCACTTTTGCTAACTTCTGGAACCTAACCCTATGTTTTGCACTAGTTCATTGTTTCTTATAGCACAGATTCACATAACATGGCACTTTTTTGGAATCTAACTACCATGTTATATGGGGAATGTCTGTGTATAAATAAATATTAGTTTCTTTTAAATCCACAAATTTCTATTCCTTACAGCAAATATAATATAAATTGCGTAAATGATTTATATTTTAGAATAATTCTGAAGATAACAAATTTATGTTTTTCTATTTACTAGTAAAATAAAGATTAAAATTATTCTTTTCACACCATTTCAACTTTTTAACATAAATCTATAATAAAAGTGCATTAAAACATTCATTAAAAAGTCTTTGAATAATCAAATTTTTTTGAATTGTTTTAATTGTAGAAAATATACAAAATAATTTCAAAATTAATGTTTTATTTTTATGGATAACAAATATATATGCCTACTGTATTTCTAAGAATTTCTCAGATACTCATGTATTTTGAACATTTCTAAACTAAAACAATTTAAATTGAATTTTCAAATACCTTTACATACTAGTGACTGGAATGAATGTTATGTTGGTTTGGGAGATAGAAATCATTTGTCCTTAGGCATTTCCTATTTGTAACACAATAAATAAGTACTAAGAACACTTAACTCAATAACCTAACAACCAGCAAAACTTTCTCAAGTGGTATTTTTTCTGGTTTTTAGATTATTGAGTTAGGTGCTCTTAGTGTGATATTAACCAGTATCTAGCAGTTGTCCATTGAATATAAATAAATTTGTTATTTAATATTTTCAGAAAAGAATTTCAAATACAAATACTTATAATTTAATATTTGCATTTGAAATACTTTTATAGTATTTTCCCAGCTCTCTACATAGTTATCAACATATATCATTATCACTATTGTGTTATCTTCGCACAGCTAAAATAAATAATAGCTTTCCCAAATGTATCATCCAAACATCTACCATAAAATCAGTTGATTCTACAATCTCATTTTAATTTTAAAATTATAGTATCACAATTTCTTATATAGGAATTTTAAGAAAAACAATTTTACCAAAAAACATTAAAACTGAAAATACATTTTTTGTGACCTGGAAAGATATTGTTAAATGCAGAAATCATCATAAAATTTATATACATGTTTCAAGAGACCAAAAATAATAGTTAAATATTTTTAATATCTCTGATCAAAAATTAAAGAAAGTAAATTCAAATGTTAGAAAAGTGTGAAAGATATTATGATAAATACTGCTTCAATAATAGTGCTTTTATATATTTATATAAAATATTACCTAAAACACCATTTACAATAGATAATTCAGATAAAATCTCTTCTTTGATTACAGAATCAATTTACAATAAAATTTAACAAGATATCAAGTCCATTGCAAGTTAGATCTGCCCAAGGTTTAAAAACTTAAGCACATTACATAATGTTGCTTTACATTAACAAAAGCAAGTACTTAAAAATAATCTTTGTTTAATATATGCATCAGTTTCTATATATATATATATATCTTTTATTCATTACTGTTTTATTCTCATAATAAATTATATTAATTTTGATATGTATAATCTGTTCTTTCTGAAGTATTTTAGAAATTTTATATTAAAAATTATCAATTAGATAACTATTGTTATTTTAATGTTTTGGTTTGTGTTTGGATATTAACTTTCCTCCTAAAATTATATTACAATTTTTAATGACAAATTATTCTTGGAAAATTTTTCTTACTTTCATTGCAGTTACTTCCAGTCCAACCTCTTTCACAGATGCATTTTCCTGTTTTAGAATCACAAGAGGAATTATTTTTACAATCACATGTATTTTGGCAACTTGGTCCCCAAAATCCTCTTTCACATAAACTGTTACATTTTACACCTAAAAAACAAAATCATGAGTATGTAATGTAACATTTAGTACATATTTAAATCTATATTAAAATGCTTTTAAAAAGATACATAAAATGTTATTTAAAATCATTATTTTATGCATTCTCTCACATTCACAGAATCTCAAAATATCTACTCAGAATTCTTAGAAAATTTTAGAAAAATATAATGATTACATTTATTAATTTCTTTAGTACTTTTGCAATAAAATACATCAATTTCAGTAACGATTCATTTCAAAATATCAGAATAACTTAATATAGTAAGAATTTTAAAATTTTAAAAAAGTATTAGATTAAAAATAAAAACATTAAAAATCTTATAATTCATTCAAAAATTTAGAAACAGAGATGTAAAAATATATAAATAAATATAAGAATATGATAGATCTTTTTGAGCAAAACATTAGAATACATTTTGCACAAAAAATATTTTGAGTAACAGTAAAAATTAAAACAAAATTTATTGAGAACATATTTGAAACTAGAAGACAACATACACTGGTATCTTCAGCCATGAAAATTAAAGTTTGTTGTTTTGAATTTATGAATACACTTTCAAGAAAAATATTTTATTTAAGAATCCTACTTAACAAGAATAAAATGAATATTTTGATTTATCATAAGAGAACTGGTTTGTTTTTAAAAACCTTAAATTTGATGATTCAAAGTTAACTTATATATACAGTAGAGTGTGGATTTTCCGAAAGTCAATCATCCGAAAGAATTCCAGTCGACAAATTTAAATTTTCGCCAGTGCTGTGGCGCTGTAATCTTTGGCTATGTCTTCGGCTACTCAAATATTTTACGTTTTTGATACTAAATTAACATCTGAAGTATAATTTTTTATAATTTTTATATTTTTCAATATATTTATTTTGTTTGTACAAAATAAAAAAATAATTTTTAATGATACAATAGTCTTTGTTAGGCTTAACATCGACGAAAATTCAACGCAAAGCGACACGCAACGGATAAAAATTTCGACATCAGATACGTTAAACTATTTTTTCGTACGTAAATCAGTTATCCAAAATATCAGTTATCCGGACAACCCCAGTCCTTAATTGATTCGGAAAATCGACGCTCTACTGTATTAATCAAATATTTTGACTTTTCAAAAAAAACATATTAAATTTTTTATTACATATTAGAAGTTAACATTTTATAAAAGATATAAATATTTAATATTAATAATTAATTATACATATACACAAACAAAGTTGTCCCAAAACAACTGAGTTTAATTATTTAAAATAGGCAACATTTCATTAGTGCAAAACAACTGTATTTGCATGTACAATTAAGTCTAGCAATTTTAGCAACTGTCATACATCACATAGTTACTGGCCTGTTGAAGAAGTTTTATTCTCAGGAACCACAGTATTTCTTTTTATGTTTCTCTAGACATCAGTTCCATTAATATAATTCCATTTCTTTTTTAAAAAAACATCCACTAGCCTTATAGAATTGTTTCTATTTACATTTTTAATACATTTTCCAAACTCCACTAAAGCCTGACAATTTAAAGATAAAATAAAAAAGCAATTAAATAATATTTAAATATCTGTATTTTCTAATTTCTTCTCCTCACTTTTTAACTTGTTTATACAGTAGATATATTCTACTTCATAACTATCTTTTCTATATTTACTAATTTGAAAAGAAACAAAATCAAAGAATTTATTAAGTTGAATGTACAAACAAAAAGTAAAATAAACAAAAAGTTAAAAATTAGAAAAAACAAATAGAACTTAAGTCCTCTTTAAAATTAAGAAGAAAAGATATTTAGTATCACAGGTTTAATTAGTTTTAAATGTTGTAAAAGAAAAAAAAAAAAAACATGAGAAGTTGTAATATTGTATGGAATAATTTTTAAAGAAATATTTGGAAACTATAATTACAACTTTAAAAAAAATTATACTCTATTGATGTGGCTGAAGATGGGCCAAATAATAGTTAAAATGTATATTATAGCAGAATGGGGCATGGAGAATGTATTTAAAATGTAAAACAAAGATTTTACACACAGCATGTGAACATTTTATGAAATGAAATTTTATTAAGAAAATTCAAGTCTATAGAAAGAATAAAAGAGATTGTTTAGTCATGCTTATTTCATATACTCCTGTATGTTTTTTTGTTAGAATAGATTTGAAAACTAAACAATGATATATAATAAAATTTTGCTGCTCTTCAAAAAAGAGTGCCTCATCTGACAGACAATTCTCAAAAACAGATACAACTAAATAGACAAGATATCTTTGTACACATGGTAATTCTCATCCATATTAAGACACAGTCATAAGGAATTTCTGATGCAAGAAAAGTGTTACTTGATGTCTTAGCCTGCTTATAACTCAAATTTTGTTGAATGTAATTTTTGACTTTTCTCAATAATTAGAAAAATATAAAAAATTAAAATTTGAATTCATATCTGGCATCATTAGAATTCTAAAAGCATTCTACAAACCATTTCAGAAGGTATTTGATAAATGGCAGATTCATTGGGACCTGTGAATTTGAAGAAGTGAATATTTTGAAAAAGAATATCTGATAACATTTAATATATTTATACTGTTTTAATAAATATATTCTCCATTGCTTTGGGGCAATCTCTGCATGTATAAGAACAAGCCAAATTAAATAAAACTTTGCTAGACAAGTAATTAAACATTAAAATATTTTTTAAATAATTTAAAACAATAAATTGATGTCAATAGTCTCCAAGTAAAGTCATGAAATTGAAACTAAAAGTCTGAATTTTATGTCAGACTTTTATATGATGTTTATTTGATATGAATTCAGACTTTTAGTCTGACTTTCATGTCAGAAAAAATAATTTATAAATTTATGAGATTAAATCAAATATCAGAAAAGTTATTTTAAAGGAATTTCTTTGCATTTAAGTATCCTTTACCTTTCCATCCATGGGCACATATACACATCCCGGTTACATGATCACAATCAAGTGCTTTATCCCAATCACAATCACATTTTTGACTGCAGTTTAAACCAAAATAAGGTTGCTGTGTGTATAAAGAAAATACAATGTGAAAATTTAATTCATATATTGGTATATAAAATAAAATAGCTTCATAAATATAAGAATAAATTTTAATTAAATTTTTAAACTCTATTTGACAATAATAAACTTTTTTAAACTTAATTTTCAGAAGTCAACTTTTATTTATTTGAATTTTTTTTTAAATGATATATTATTAAATAGAACTGCCTATTTATTAAATAACAACATTAAAGCTGATACTTTGTTTTGTTATTTATCACTTTTACTAACTGAAAAATCTCATTTTTAAACTTAACCACGAATAATTCCAGGCTGACTGAAAAAAGAATAACTGATGACAGATTTGGCAATTAGTCATAACACACTTGTCAAATTAGTCTCATAGTTCTGATCAGTCAGCACCATTTAATACTAAATTGTTTCATAAGCAATGTACTGTACAACAAAGTCCAAGTGTTCTTAGAAATATGTAAGACCTCTACATTTTTCAACCTGTGGCAAAAGTAGTTGGTTTAAGCACCATTAAGACATGGAGAAAAGAAGAAAAAAGATAGTATCAGATTTATATCATTGAATATTAAACCAACAAAAATAAAATATCAGACACATTTCAGTCACAGAAAAATAAATTTTTTCAAGCATCAAATGGAAAAGAAGTAAGTTCAAATGTATAAATTGATGTTTACGTGATAAAAAGTGTAAAATATGATGTATTAATAGGTGCAATATTAAATGAAAAATTTAGGGAAAATCTGATATAAGTTAAGATTACTGTTAGTTATATTACAAAAAGAAAAAAAAAGGTTTATTACATAATAAGTATTAATGCTTCTTAGCTTAATTTAGTAAATAAACTAGAGTTATAGGAGAAATTTGTTGAATTATTTTCAGATGTTAACTGATATTAGCAGTTATTTATAGGTGTTAGCAGAGAGGAGAAACTGAGAGCTGGAAATAATTTTGATGTACAGTAGAGTGTCGTTTATCTGAATCAATTGGGGACTGGGGTTGTTCGGATAACTTATTTTTCGGATAAACAATTATGTATGAAAAAATATATTAATTTATCCCGTGTTGAAATTTTTCTCCACTGCGTGTCGCTTCGCGTTCAATTTTCGTCGATGTTAAGTCCAATGAAGACTATTGTATCGTTAAAAATTATTTTTTTATTTTGTACAAACAAAATAAATATATTGAAAAATATAAAAACAATAAAAAAATTATAGTTCAGAAGTTAATTTAGTATCAAAAACGTAAAATATTTGAGTAGCCGAAGACATAGCCAAAGATTACAGCGCCACAGCACTGGCAAAAATTTAAATTTGTCGACTGGAATTCCTTCGGATAACCGACGTTTTGGATAAACGATGCTCTACTGTATATGTAAAAATAAGATAATGTTAGAAGAATGTAAAATAAATGAGAGAGGTTACAAGGACACTGACAGGAATAGACACAAGAGAAAAAACCAAGTAGGATGGCATTAGAAGACAAGGGAAGTTACAACAGCATATAACTCATTTAAAAATATTTTTGGACATTTTGATTAACAAATAATAATAGTTTTCAAAACAGTCTGGTTTCTTTTAAAGCAGCTGATGAATTTAATAATGAAAGATGTATTATATTTTATATGTTATCCTATCAGCTGTGCATCTTGATAGTCCAAAACAACAACCATTGTTGCTCAACATTTTCTGGTTTTTATAGTAATTTTTAAATTTGCAATATTTCGCTTAAAAATTGTTGTAGATTTGATCTGTTTTTCATCTTTTATCATGCACTATCACACTATGGTTCACCTTAAAATATTATGAACATTTAAAAAAATTTATAAAATTCAAGATTTCAAAAATCAAAAAAAAATTTTTTTTTAATAAACATCCGATTTAATATTTTTATATATGTTAGATAGATAGGTCTATATACACACATATAAAAAAACTGCAGCTTTCTAAACCGATGTAGAGAAATAATACGACCTATAGATTATAACGCCGATCGGCGTGTAAGGGGGGTGAGTGGTGGTTATTCTAAATTTAGGTCAATACACTTTTTAGTATTGATGATGTATATTTGATTCTATTTATGTTATTTACACTATTGTACTAACAATGGTATATATCAAGCGATTATTACTTTATTATATTAACAATTAAACATGTATTTCTTATGTATTATGGAAGTACCATGATAACTGGAAGTACCTTGTTTTTTAAAAGATTTATGGCTGGATGGTTTAAAAAACATGCTTATTTGTTAAATAGGATAAATATGCATAAAAATTTACTAAATTCAACTGAATAAAATTTAATTCTGTAATTTGCCAAGTGTCTGTATGAATATGATAAATAATTTGTGTTTGAATTGAAATAAACTACTGACACGGTTTCAAAAATACCAGAATAGAATTCATTCATTATATTACATTTGGTTCAGTTCAGATTTTAAATTAATTTTAAGACTATAAAATCCATGAACATTAAAAAGTTAATATTGCTAAACAAACAACTTTATTTATTCAGATTATTCTATAAATTAAAATTCAAATTAAATATACATATACCTCACATTTCTCTTTACACAATGTTCCAACAAAACCAGATTGGCACATGCAATCACCTGTGACAGGGTCACATGCCCCACCATTTTTACAGTCACAGGAATGTTTGCATTCAGGACCATATTTACCTTGAGGACATGGTAGATCACAATTGATTCCTGACCAACCTTAATAATAAAAATGTATAAAATTTTAAAAATTTAAGATTGATGTTCATATAAATATTTAGTAAAATAATGAATGAAAAATAAAAACATTAAGATTAAATAGTTATATACAACAAAACTAATTATCAGTATAAATTGTATCAAATTACAATAAATAATTTGTTGTAAATATGTTTAGAAAACTTTTGTATCAATAGAAACATAAATTTATGTAACATATATAATTATAATTTATGTAACATAAATAAACAATCCTACTACCAGATGCAATGCAATAACACATTAACCATTGCCGTAAATCATCAGACTATAATTTGGAATAAATAATTATAAATGAATTTGGCACTAGAGGGAAGTGTTAGGCACCATTTTGTATTAAAATTAATAATAAATAATTTAGATTAAACTGGAAGAAAAATTTGATTTAATTTAAAAACACAATTTTATGAAATTTTTATGAATTCTATTCAACATAGTTTATACAACACTAATATTCTCAAATATGAAGCATTGGAAATGAAGTATAGAGAATAATTATTTTTGAATAAATTTCTAATTTTATTAATTGGAGAGAGAGTCACAATCAGTATTTTTGCAGTGTAAAGAAGATCAAGAGTTTCAAATACAGTGTCATTAATATTACTTCTAAAATAATAAGCAATATTAAAATTACTTCCAAAAAGAATATATTTCTATTATATCTAAAGGTATTAAACAAGTGTATCGCAGGAGTGTATTAAACAACTTCCCAAAGTTTCACGGCAATCGGATAAATGGCGTGGTAATGCATGAAGGACAGACAGAAGACAAACTCACACAGACAGCCATACATTCAGTTTTATATATATAGATATATAAATTACAAAAGATTATATTAAAAGATATTGTATGGAATAAGTTTATAAATATAACTGTGTGTTTGAATTTCTGTTTATGTCAAACTTTAATTTATGTATAAAATCTGCTTTCACAATTAATAAGTAATGATAAAAATTTAAAGCTTACCAGAATCACAAGCACAATGACCAGAGGAATGAGAACATTTTCCATTTTCACAAGAACAATTAAAAGTGCAATTAAGTCCATATTTTCCTTCAGGGCACACTTTTTCACATCTACATAAATAAATAAAAAAATGTATTAACTTAATATTTTAATCAAAAAATTTCTAAAAATTTGCAACGGAAATAATGTTTCAAAATACCTATTTCCCATAAAGCCTGCATCACAGATACACTTTCCATTTATTGGATCACAGAGGGCTCCATTCTCACAGTCACAACTCTTTGAACATCCTTCACCATATGTTAAGGCTGAACAACTTCGAGTGCAAGTGTCTCCTGTCCAACCTGGTTTACATTTGCATTTGCCAGTCCAAGGGTGACATCTACCAAATTTATAACACAGTATTCTATATTTTCATTTCAAATCTAATAATAATAATATATAAATTATTTTATACCTTTTTCTTGAATTAAAAAATATGTATGAAATATATATTTGTTTATTTACAGATAAAAAATTTATTTTGTATTTAAATTAGTAATCAGTGATGATTTTATTTACATATTAAATTTAATAAACATTCAGTGGTGTAGCATGGGTGTCAGCCGCCTGGGGCAAAGGAAAATTCACCATCCCCTTATTTAAGCATCTCAATTTAAAAGACTAAAATTCAGTTTCGTCACAGAATAAGTAATGAAAAATTCTGTCTAGTGTTGCCACCTTTTTAAAATCGCTGACCCAGACGGCAGGTGAGGTTTGTTTGAACAGAAGTTCCTGACGTATGCGCAATGTCATTTTGCAATGAAGAATAGTTTGCAGTGCATGCTGGTTCGAAATCAGGTACAGTTAAGGACTAGGGAGATCTGGATAGGAGTAACGTAAGTAACCTAGATGACATAGCTCTATTGGATATTGGAGATGTGTATGAACATGAATTGTACAAGCAAAAGAAAAAAATAAAAAAAAGATTGACAGGTTATGCACGATTTTGCTGGGAAAAAATTAACAGTTCACCCGGACAGTGAGTTGATTCCTGGACTGTCCGGGTGGTAACACTATTCCGTGCTCATTTTAATCAGTCAGAATCGTAGGTGCAACAAAAGTATGAAATAAAATGGTTCAAATTTTTACAAGATGATATTATTTATTGTGAAATTTTGCCGCCCCCACTACACTACGCCACTGTAAACATCCTACAAGCAGTTTATATTTAAAATACTAAGTTTCAAATTGTTCCATAATCTAATTCATGATGTCCATTACACATAATGGAATAATGCTATTCAACTTTAAGCATAATTAATTATGAAAAAAATATGAAAGTAATTTAAACTGCAATGTACAGACAGTATTTGAAGTTTTACCAGATTCTACTTAAGCTCACAGACATAAAATTCTGTACATCAATTTAAATAGTGTTCAAAATCAATAGATGGGCAGAGACAGTCAACTTGTTAAGCCTTCACTTTCTCCAGATGTTGCAATATTCAACTTACTTCTAAAAAGTCTAACTACTGATACAATTTATATCATCACAGTTACAAAATCTATAGATCTGAAGACACTAATAAAGAATAACATCACATTGGTTAAAGATTTGTTGATTTGCACTTAGAAGGAATTGTAATTTTTACCAGGTATTCTCTAAGCAAAACAAAGTCCATATTGTGATGCCAAGTATACAATAAGGCAGCAAGTTATTAATTATTCATTCCTTGAACAAAATATATAGTTTCATCATTACAAATTATATGAATGTTTTCTACACTACAGATTATATAGTTTGCCTAGTTAAGCATCTGTTTTTGTTCAATTCAATTAAGAATAAATTATGAAAACACTATATAAGTGACTTTGAATGTAGGTGCAAGATATGCAGATTCTAATATCAACCAAACTGCAAACCTGGGTCTTTTACACACAACATGGATAAAAATTTATTACAAATGGCTGATGAGCTACGTTATATGTTATGTTTTTTAAAGAAATAAATTCATAAAGCTGCAAGAAAAGCACTTGAATTAAAAAGAAGAGATGCAGATTGCTAATCTGAATTACAAAAATGTTTAATCAAATACAAGATTATGATAATATGCCAAAAATGTAGAATTTATCCTCCATCTCTATTATTTACAAGAATGAAATAAGAAAGTCAACTAATTATTGGTGTTGGAATGGTTAAATGGCTATGATACTTATCAACATAATTTTTAGCAAGATTATCAAATACAGATTAGAAGATAAAATCTGCAACACGATTTCTAAATAGTAAAGTGATTTTAGAGTTTAACAATCTTGTTTAGCTAGTATATTTTACATAAGACATTACTGTGAAAGTTATTGAAAAATCTATAGTAGTCCATATGATTTTTGTTAATTTGGAAAAATCTCATACCTATTCAAATCATCTGCTTTTAGAATTTGCTAAGAGGAGTTAGTGGAAGAAAATATAGGAATGAGAATTAAAAATAAACTTTTTAGAGTTCAGGATAATAAAGAGTTTCAGACACAAATGTGGATTATTTCTTCTTATTTATTCAAAGCTTATCTGACAAATGTCTCCTAATAAATGGCACATCCCATTAGAAATGGAATGTTTTTTAATTAAAAAATAAACAGTTCATTCAATGAACTGAATTTGATTATCTGAAAAGATAATCAAATGATGATTGCACAATCTAGGAAAGATGTGAATGTGTATTCACATAACTTGTTTGAAATATATGGATGTGAAAATAAATTTCTAAGAACTAAATATTTAATTTAAAAGAAGAAAGCTAAGAGATTATATTTGAAATCAGGAATGATAAAGGACAGTTGAGCAGTTTAAATATTTGAGATTAATTGATCATAGATAATTCTATCATAAAAACTGATGATAACAGCTATTGAAAGCTTTCCACATACTAAAGAAAATTCTTTGAAATAGATATATCCACAAATGTGTACTGTATTAAAAATTAAGAAAGATTTCAGATATTGAAATGGTTAAATTAAAAGAAGCTCATATATTCCATAATGCAGCATATACAAAATGAGGTGATCTAGGAAAGCATTCTGCAGAGTAAATGAAAACAATTTTAAACTAGATGGAAGAGGACAATGGTAAGACGATGCTAGAACCATGTTAACAAAAAATTAGTCACCAGAAAGAAGAAATAGATGCAAGCCACAGGCAACATAAAAAAAAAGTGTGTTCTATGCAATGAAAATTTATAATTTGAAAGATAACTAATGGAAAACTGGAGGGATGTCAAGACAAAGGACATCATTTAAAGCAAAGAAAAGTAAAATTTTGCACTAAATAATATTGAAATAAAGAACGGATTTCACAAATATTTTTAACAGTTTGATTTAATATATAATAAATAATTGATGTAACTACTGTATATCTTTTAACTACATTAAATTTTAGTTAAAAGAAAATGCAGTTTTATTATATATAAATATGTTACAGAGTAAAATACAAATAGAATGAAAACAAATGCAATTAAAAAACAAATATAACTCACTTTTCTGTATTATTCTTGTGACACTGACATATTTGCTGACAATTTTTTCCATAAAGATCATCTGGACAACCTAAACATAAATTAAAATTTATTTATTATTTACTATCCTTATTTAACTGATAATTTTTTCTTTTAATACATTTTAATTAAAATCTTTATATTACTAAGTTAATTTCTTATTGAATTAGACAAGTTTTTCTATTGATATTTAAAGCATAATATGGATATCACAATATTCAAATGAGTTTTATTATATTTTTCTGTTTTCCTAATAAAGAAAAAAGATTTAAATAATTTAAATTATATAGGGAAACAAAAATAATGGTGTAAATTGAAATAAGAAATGCAGAACTTTTAAAGCCTCTCTGTCTCTTAAATAGGTGTAAGAGACAGAGAGACTTTAAAAATTCACAAAATTTAGAAAAAATGCCAAAATATCTTCACATTTTCATCCTGGCAAGTTTTATTAAGATAGAAAAAAATGCCTAACAAAATGCAAGTACTAAATTTTTTATAATTCTTAACTGTCTTAACATTTAAAATCCAAGATATTTATAAATATTGTTATTTATTCCATTCTAAAAGAAATATAATTTAAAAAAATTATCTTGATTGTTTGTTAAGTTATGGCAACACAACACTTCAGCAATTTGCCTAGGGGGGGTGCCTTCCAGGAGGTCTCCTTTAAGGGAAACTGGCCCCTATTTAGGCATTACAGATGTGGAGAAAACTCAGAAAACTCCACATGGTCAGCCTGTCCGAGCGAGGCGCAAACCCATGACTGAACTCCCAGTGTTCAGGGTACGAAGACCACTTGGCCACTGGTGGGCTTGAGCAAATATTATCTATTAACAACAACAAATCCACAGTGATAAATTATAATGAAGAAACCTTAATGCCTCTGCATTTAGAGGAAGAAAGTAATTTTTTTAATCAATATAAATAATTTCAGCTTCACTGAGCATATTGTACATTCACTAAATACACTGCTTGGAGGGATGACAAAAAAAAAAACAATAAATCTCAATGGCAAGATTAATTTCTTTTAATTTTCATTACATAATAATTTTTTAAAATAAAAACATATATAATCTGTATTATTAAATAAAAAATGCTGTCCACTTCATTCCAAGGCTTAGGAGTCTTAAGCTTTATGTTTCAGGCAGTTTCAAATAAATCAGCCAATATTAGGCTGAATATTTGATATTTGTAAGTCAAAAACACAAGAATATTTGTTATTCAATCAAAAACCACCATATTTAGTCCATCCCTAGTATGATACATATCATTAATTTTTGTTATAATAAACATGTCTTAATCAAGTGAAATGAAAACATGCTTTAGAGACTTTCACTCTTTTGCTTTGAAAGTTTCAATATTTATATTTAGGATTGACAAATTATAATATAAATATTAAAACTTTCAAAAATAATTAATTTAAAAGCATTTTTCAATTATTTTATTTATTTAATTAATTTCGTGTACATACAGTATAATTAAACAGATGAATAACTTCAACAGATTTTTTTTATAATTAAATATGCTGAAGTTATTAAAATATGGAGTTTGTATTGAGTAGCACCCTATAATAAAAGTGTATTTTTAAAAAGTTCATTTGTTGATTTTTTTGAAGAGATACTAGATCTATGGTGTCCTAAAAAATCAGAACAAGATTTGTCTGGAAAGTTCACAAACTTTTTAAATTATATACTAACCAATAATTGAGTCTAAATGCAACTTGCACTGCTCTCTAGGGGCAAGTTTTGTGTACTATCTGACAGAAGCAGTTTGTTCTATCTTCATTTGTTGTTATGTTGTGTTCAACTGTTAAACACATGTTGATTGCATTTTACAATTTTCTTCCAGTGAATGCAAATGGATGATTAGCTTCTGGGATGGGTTAGCTCTGATGAAAATTTCATGGAAAACATCATCACTGGGGATGACACATGGGTCGATGTACAACGTAGAAACAAAATGTCAGTCATAAGAGTGGAAGGGAAAATCTTCACTGCAACCCAAAAAGGAACAACAAGTTCAGTTGAATGTGAAGGTCTTGCTCACTGTTTTGTTTGATTCTGAAGGTGTCATTCACTATGAATACAATCTGAAGGTGATGGAACATCTTCGTGAAGCAGTGAGAAAGAAAAGATCGACTGCTTGAAGAGAACAGCACCATGATAATGCACCCATCCACATATCAATGCTGATAATAGAGTTTTTGGCAAGAACATGATGTCACTTGTTTCCCAATCTTTCACATTCACTGAACTAAACCCTAACATACTTATTTTTGTTTCCCAAATTAAAATCCATTCTCAAAAGTTGCTGTTTTGATTCTGTTGATGCTATTAAGTAAAATTTGCTAGCAGTGTGTGCATTATCCCAAAAAAGCATTCTTTTTATGGCAGAAATTCGGTGCATAGACTCAGGAGGAGACTACTTCAAAAGCAACAAAACTGACTAACTTCTAGATAAATGCAAACAATTTCTATTTGCAAAGTTTGCAAACTTCCTGGACAGACCTCGTATTTATAACATCCTTTTACTATAAAAACAGGCTTGAAATCATTTACATTAAATAACAATTAAACTGAAAATACTAAATTTAATTTTCATTTCTAATTAAAATTTCTTGAAAATTGCAAATACATTAGAGCTAAAAAGACTAAATCAATAATACTGGAAAATGGCATTTCTTAACCATCAATTATGTTTGCCATGACATAAAATACAGCATTTTTCTATAGTTCTATTTTTCTAAATTAAAAAAAGTTTTTTGAAAAGCTAACATATCAGAAAATTCAAACACAGCAATTTTCAATAGTTCAAAATCAATAATTTCACTTTCTCCCAAAAGATAGACTGAGGTCAACAGAATAAATTCTAAATAACTTAAATTCTATTAAATCATAATAATTCATCAAAAATATCTTGAATCTAAAACAATTTAGGATATTCTTTATATTTGGCATGAAAAAAAAATTCAATTTAAAATTAGAATAAATTTAACAAATGGCAATTTTATTAATGTTTTTATAAGATACTTACAAAACCACTTTATTGAAAAAACTAATGTGAAATCACTCATACATTAGAGTCAATTCAAATAACTTCCACATCATTAAAATGTGAAAGTTACTGTTTTAATTGCTTCTGATGATGAGCTTAGTAGCTCAAAAGTATTTATGCTTTGATGTACAAGTAATTTCATGTTAATTTTTTCCAATAAAGCAGTAATTAATTTCACACCTTACTCACATCTTCCAGCCATACTTTGTTTTTAATAAAGTATTGCTGGAAGATATACAGGTGTGAAATTAATTATTGTTCAGTTCCAGTTTTGAATGACACATTCCAATAAAGCAGTTTTCAAGTGTTGAATGTTTTATAGAAATTGAATATTTTTATAATTTTAAACATTAGTTTTAAATGTTATATTAAGATTTTTCTATAAATTAATTTTCTTAATATTAACAATATTTATTTATCAACAGTTACTCTGCACTCAAAATGTATTTGGCTAAAATCATAAAAAAATAACATTCAAGAAAATAATTGTTTTACCTCTTCTTTCACAGCGAGTACCTTCAAAACCAGGAGAACATTCACAAAGTCCATCAGTTGGATAACAATTTGCACCATTTTCACAATTACAAGCCTAATTAAATTAGTTATTTACATTAGACATAAATTTATGTCATGTGACTAATATTAAATGAAATAATTTATCAACATAATAATAAAACCATATGATGTTATAAGCTTGAACAGAGCAGAAAGAAATACAGTAGAACATTGTTTATCCGAAAGCATTCCAGTTGGCAAATTTAAATTTTCACTAGTGCTGTGGCGCTGCAATCTTTGGCTATATCTTGGGCTACTCCAATATTTTTTTTGTTGGTGTGTGTGTGTTTTAGCTGGCAGCACTGGCACTTTTGTGTGGTGTTTTTCTGAGGATTGTGTGTCGTGCTGAATCGAACGTTTTTGATACTAGATCAACTTCTAAAGTATATTTTTTTTTGTTTTTATATTTTTCAATAAATTTATTTTGTTTGTACAAAATAAAAAAATAATTTTTAATGATACAATAGCCATGATTATTATTTTAAAAAGTTTTCGTTAGGCTTAACATCGACGAAAATTCAACACAAAGCGACACGAAACGGAGAAAAATTTCAACGTGGGATAGGTTAATATATTTTTTCGTACATAATCTATTATCCGAAAAATAAGTTATCCGAACAACCCCAGTCCCCAATTAATTCAGATAAATGATGCTCTAATGTATACCAAACCAACATCACCAAAAATAATTTGAGTATATTTTCTTCTATTTAATTTTTATGTTATTTGAATATTTTTATTCATAAAATAAAGCATCTGTTTTATTTAAACTTTAATATTTTTTAACTCAGACTTTTAAATCTCATAAATTTTTGCTTTTAAAATTGTATAATACATAATTAGTAAACATTTTTTAATTTTTTCTTTTTCATTAAAATTTATATGTATACATTTTTTTTGTTAAACAATAAATTAAATGGGTAACAAATTTAAAATACAATTGAGAAATATTTATTATTATACATTGATTCTATGCAAGGTCATTTCTGGTTTTATTGGATGAGCTCAAATTTTCTAAACCTTCTATAAAATCTACAACNAGAGCATATAGTTTAAATTTAACAAATTTAAAATACAATTGAGAAATATTTATTATTATACATTGATTCTATGCAAGGTCATTTCTGGTTTTATTGGATGAGCTCAAATTTTCTAAACCTTCTATAAAATCTACAACCAATCAGAATATATTTCAAGTTACACAAAACAATTTGGCTAAGGTAAGTTGTTAGGTCACCATCTCATGATAAAATTAATAAATTGTATTTAAATAAGTTATGTTTATACTCTCATTTATTAATATACATGTTAAAAACTATTAAAGTAATAAACTAAGAATAAAAACTCATCTTCAAAATATTATTATTTCTATTTATTTAACATTACCTTATACAGAAATCTTATCTATTTATAAGAATTTCCACTCATTCAACTATAGAAACAAACTTCTATTATTGTTAAAAATTATTACCATATCAATACAAAAATAATTTTAGAATGTAAATCTTATATTTATAAGAATTGATTTCCTATGTAATTTTTAATTATTTTAAGTTATTAATAAAAACTAATTAAATTTATTATGAAATATTTTTTATAATTATGTATATTATTATATAACCAGAGAAAATATATGTAAACTTAGATTTCAAAAAAATCTATGAACACATACTATGCAGTCTTTAATTAATAGCAAAAAGTTATTTTTACTATTAAATAAAGTGAAACTAAATTTAAATAATGTAAAACAGCTATTAATAATATATATTTTTTAAATATCAATCAATCAATCAAACTTTATTTGCATATAAGGAAATAATCCCTGTTGCCAGGAATATATTTTTTAAATATTGAACTTACTTCTGAACAATTTAATCCCCAAGTTCCAACTGGACAGCCTTCCTGACAAAATTTTCCTCTGTAACCTGACGTACAATTACAGACACCAGTTATATGATGACAGGAAGCTCCATTGTAGCATACACATCGTTCACTACAATTTTTGCCATAATAACTAGAATGGCATGGATTAGCACAAACTGCTCCCTATAAAAGAAATTGACAAGTAGGTTAAAATAATAATAATATTAATTAATTATTAATACAAATACAAATATTATTAAAAAACTGTTTTGTGTTAATTATTAAGAGTTCAATCAGTCAAGAGTTTATTATAATCAAGTTTTTTTTATCATAAGTAAATTTTCTGCATCCAATATTCAGACAAATTGCTCATGTTATTTTACATACTACATATTCTGAAAGTAACCATAATAGAGCCTATAATTTGTCAAAAGTTAATGAAAAAAACAGCTTAATGTATAAACAATGTTATAATCTTTTTATGTTAAAAAGTACTTTTGCTTACTTTATTTAAGGCTTTATCAGTTAAGTGATATTCAAACAGAATATTGCTTAATTGATAAAGCCTTAATCTCAGTGTGTTGTGGCTTCTCACAGATGCCACAACACTGGCACCTATTTTTCAACATTAATTATATTTAAAATTATGTAAAAAAAATCTGAAAAAATTTCTACCTTCCTAACTTTTCAACCAAGATGACATGCAGTTGACAAGTTTTTCAGTGCACAAATACTTTGGGAAAAAATGCTGGCATCTAATAGAGACCATATAATGCATGCATTTTTTGTCATCTACAAGTATTTTACATCATTACAAAGAAGACAAAATATGAAAATAAAAGATATAATCATAGTTTGATGTAAAGTTGATAATTTCACAATTTCAGAATTAGCAATGATATCTGAGATACCTTATGATACAACTAAAGCAGTCAATATCATCTGATATGCAGAGTTAAATAAAGAAAAACAAGTGTTTTTTTTAACATTAAAAGATTATCACATTGTTCTATTTATACATTAAGTTATGTCACAACATCAAGATTCCATATACTTATAAACAGAGCAATAGTTATCAGTATTTACAGAAACTGATATATGTCAGAAAATTCAACTAAGATGGCCAATGACAGAATATCATTTTAAGAAACTAAAATCCAATACTTTCTAATTTAAAATTTTGAAAATAGGTTCTCTATTCACAATTCTGCAAAATAGAAAAACTTTTTTTCAAATCTCAAAACAGCATTGCAATTCCAAAAGAATTGAAGTCCAAGTAGCTCCTGAAAAAAAAAAAAAAAAAAAAGAGAGAGAGAATACTAAAAGAGACAGTAGAACAACCATAAGATTATCTCTAATAAAGATAAAAACTATTAAGGTAATTGGGCTGCAATTTGAAAAATTGTAAACCTATAAATTCTCACTGTCATCTGTCTCAGTCTGTCTTTCCTTTCCTTAATCTCGAGAATTAGGTTAGACAGATGAAAGGCGAGACCAGATTTGGAAAGATTAGGAGGCAGGAGGCCCCCGATTAACTATATATGAACTCATGATGCAAACTAGAAGTCATGTTATTTCAATTCAAAGATTTTCCCTGAAAGGTGTTAGATAGATAGATAGACTGATACAATAAATAACTGTCCGTTTATACCATTACTCATTTCTTTTTCCAAATGACCTGCAAAGTATAGCACTCTCACACTTTGAAAAAATTTTAACTATATATTGAACTATTCAAAAAGTAATTTGATGATGATGATGATGATGAAATCACTGCATTAATCCAAGAGAACTCAGATTACATGCCCAAGGAAACTGCAGAAAAGTTATCTATCACTAAGGGATTAGTTGTTGGTTATTTACACAATTTAGGATCCATGTAATACTATGATGTTTGGGTACCACATTAATTAAGCATGAGAAATATGATAGACAATCTGCTTGTGATTTGTTGATGAAACATAATGAGACGGTCCCTTTTTGAAGCAACTAGTTGCTGGTGATGAAAAATTGATTTTTTATGATAATGTGCATCAAAATAATTGTAAAGAAAGTAAACTGACTCCCTTGCAATGAAATCAAAAGCCAATTCACATTCAAAAAAGATTATGCTGAGTATATAGTAAAACTGGCAGAGAATTATCTATTATAAACTACTATCTCAAAATCAGACTATTAATGCAGAAAAATACTGTTTCCAATTTGATAATCAGAAGGAATCCATTGAAGAAAAATGGCCAACATTAGCAAGACGAAAGTATGTGGCTTTACAGCATGACATTGCTACACACATTTTTAACCACTGAAGAAAAATTGTTACAATTTACATGAGTTGTTTTATACCACCCCATATCCTACTGATCTTGTGCCTTTAGATTACCACTTATTTCAATCTTTCCAGAATAGTTTTCATGGAAAGAAGTTCAATAACTTTTCACATTTAAATTTTTCACATCAGCTACGAGACATGTTATAAAGAAAAGTCGCCAAAATTCTTTGCACACAATAGCTCTACTCAACAGATAGGCCAAAGTGACAGAAAACAGGTGCATATATAATTTAATAAAGTTATTTCTTAAATGATACTCAAATTTTAAAAATTAATCTAAAAAGCAAACATTTTAATAAATTGAATATCAACTCAGCTTCTTTTAAACATTTAATAAAACATTTAACACCTTATAACGCTGAGAAATTTTTATTAAAACACAAACGTTCTCAGCCTAATGGAATAGGCCATCATCAGGTGACAGGCTATCAAACAACTTTGAAAATTGCATTAAAATGGAACTTTCTAACATTACAAATTCAAAATTAAAACGTAAAATAAATTAACCATCACTAAACAAAATAACTATAATAAATAGATTGAAGCCATATTAATATAAATAATAAAATAAGGCAATATAAAACTAAAAACAAAAATAAACTTAAAAGATTAAATGCATAAAAGGATTAAATTCATAAACATATACATATCAAAAAGCATCACATTAAAAAAGGCTGATAGGAACTAAGAATTTGTGTGTTTTAACTTTTCTTTTACAAAGAACTTCCATGCCGAAGCTAATTCTTAGTTCCTATTGGCCTTTTTTAATGTGATGCTTTTTGATATGTATATGTTTATGAATTTAATCCTTTTATGCATTTAATCTTTTAGGTTTATTTTTGTTTTTAGTTATATATTGCCTTATTTTATTATTTATATTAATATGGCTTCAATCTATTTATTATAGTTATTTTGTATAGTGATTGGTTAATTTATTTTACGTTTCAATTTTGAATTTGTAATGTTCGAAAGTTCC